GCTACTTGTCCAACGACTGCTAAATGATGATGTTGAAATTCCTCTGCTATATTATCAACAGCAGTATATCTCACTTCCAAATGTGGGTAAAACCTTTTATCAGTGACAACTGAATCCGCTATGTTTTTTACTTCTCTCATTCGATTAAACCAAATATCTCGTAAAGTACGAGACTGTTTCAACTTTGCAGCCATTCTATCGGTCTAACTATAATAATATCGAATTAATATAGCAATACCATTCAATTAATAGTCAATTATGGATAAATCAATTTTAATCACACGAATGAATGTTATTGAAGTAATAAGAGTGGATCTAAACTGAACTGAGAAAATTCAAAAATCTATTGATATTCAAATACTGTGAATTGTTTTTATTTTTGTAATCGAGTAGCTTCTGTCAAAATCGGAAAGAAAATGGAAAAATGGAAAATTGGCGAAAATGATCCGAAATCACTTGTTTGTGTTCAATACTCGAATGTGATTCTAATAAATTAAACGTGTCATGCTTTGTATAGAGCGGCACGTATATTTCAATTGTATTCCAATAATAAATTTCCAATAAAATATTGCGATGGCCGCTATTTAGTGACGGTGATACGAACTCATTGATATGAGCAAATTGCAATAAAAACTCGACCCAACCGATCTTCACTCGAATGTGAAAAACTGGAATTTCTAATGAGTAAATTTTTTAGTAAATTTTACTTTTAACTGAATATTTTAAATAAATGAATAATTATTATCAATGAAATATCATTGAAAACGAGACCGAGATTTCCAAAACTATGATTGAAATCGAACGATAATCATGTGAATATACCTACGATGTGGCAACAACAATTTCGAAAAGAAAATGCGAAATTTTATTCAAAGGAAAACGAACTGATCCGGCTCTCGAAGGACCATTTATTTATGTTGCGTAACGAACTATCGAATTACGAGGGAAGGTTGGAGATTAGTAGACTCACCAGAGTGGACTGTATCGTGATGTGGACTTGGATGTTCTCGTCCGATGTAGATGCGGTAGGCCTACCTTTCAGCTCCCATTTCCTCGAATGTCTATTTTAATGATTCTAGCACTGGACATCCATTGATACACGATTTGTAGCACTAGCGAAAAAATGTTTAACAAAAGGAACCAGTATTTTGCAAGAACCACACAAAGATGCCGGTCACTCGTCTTTCGATGACTATATCTGTTCGTCCATGTGTCTATCCCACCAACCTTCTCAGACACGCGCTTTTTCATACAATCTATATATACGCGCATTATTGGTACCACACCATAGGCAACCCATAAAGCACAGATAAACAATACATTTATATATATCGATACAGATATTTATTCCAAATGATGATATATTGATTAAACTTAATGAATTTATTATTCTTATTAATTATAGTAGAAAATTAATATTAAACACAAACAATGGGGACGAAACACTAACCGAAGCTCGGGGATTATTATTGGCCTTAAAAAATAATTTAAAATTATTCATTTTACTTTCTACTTTGTAATAGTTTTCAAACTTACAGTGTTCAAGATAATTTGTTCCTCTTCTGGATCGATTCGTCTTCCATATTCAACTCTTGGCTTAACAAAACTTCCGTACTGAGCTAAATTATTATCAATATTAGCAGAATAACTATAATGCGGCTGCCGTCTCTCTGGATATTCCAACAAATAGCGCTCACAAGCCGTTTTTGAATTTCGATTCGAAATATAATAAATCCTTATCATGTCTCGTTTTTCTTCGTTAGAAAAAGTCATTTTGGTTTAATAAGCGTTAACGATTAGTGAACGCACAGTGAACTGTCAAAATATTGGATAATTTAAACATTAACAAATGAACTAAGATAGCCGAAGTGCACGATGCACCGCCACTTTGATAAAATGCAATTATTTTTGTAAATATAGCCTAGGGCCTACAGTTTGAGGGATGACACTTTAATTACATTATTTATTAACCACCCACTTTTATGTTAGTTTTTCAGTTTTATGCAATGCGCTATTGCAAAAAAAGTTTGTTTTTAATCCTATTAAACATCTAATTTTTGTCTCTCTCTAACACATGAGTTCTTATGGAAAATGCTATTAATATAAACTTTTTGAACAAGTGCGATACATCATTAGTTTTGGGACATTAATAGCTTTTGAAATCCATAATAAAAAATCCAGGGCCGTATTTAAAAAAACAAAGTTGATGATGGCAGCTCAAATACGAAACGTCTGTTTGAAAATCTGATAACACCATCTTGTAGAACAGAAAAAGTAGCAATGAGAATGTGTAATTTGTTTTGTTATATCTATTCAAACAGTCATAAAAAAATAAAAATGAAATCGCGAATATTCGGTTTTTTCCAAAAATCTTCGAAAAAGTATTCGGAATATTTCAAATATCAAAGCGGCGTTTTGATGAGCACCAAATTGCGCAACTTTGCCTCCATTTAACCGACCTCGTATCTCTTCTAGTTTCCGAGATCCCAATGATGAGGCTCGAATTTGGGACACCCTGTACAAGTATAAGGTATGTTTTAAATTGTTATTCATATTCTGATTCTGAATAAAGGGTATATTTGTTGTTTTGGAAATGATTTTACTTTTTTGTTTAATTCCCGACTATTCATTAATTGCCATGGTTCATTCACTATTGACAAAAAGAACACAACTTAGGCATCCCCCGCCTACAGTTTGTGACAACATAACTACATTTTTTCATTTGACTTGGCCGTTACTTGATTTAAATCCATGGCAAATGTAAAAACTTCACAAACGATAAGATGTCCACAAAATTCTTGAACACACAACATGTTTCGCTAACACAGTAGCTTCGTCAGGTGATATACTGGTACAATGAACTAAACCAGCCTTGGCTTGCTCAACTTTTATATATCCTACTTTTCCCTGTCCTCAGGTAACTAATCCTTCAAGTTGGGGAAGTAGGATATATAAAAGTTGAGCAAGCCAAGGGGAGTGTATAATCTCTGGTTTAGTTGATTGTACCAGTATACCACCTGACGAAGCTACTGTGTTAGCGAAACATTTTGTGGAAATCTCATCGTTTGTGAAGTTTTTACATTTGATATAACTACTATAGAACAGCAGATTAGCATAACTATTGTGTACTTTTTGATAAAGGCACCAAATTTGGTACATATGTAGACTGGTGGTGCCTATTTTCCAAAATGGCCGCCAGTGGACACCCGAAAGACATCAGAAGGTAGATAAAGTTTGCTGCTGAAGGTTTGTGGATATTTATTAAATTTTTCGAATTAAAACATGCATTTTTATTAGTTATATACCAGGTGTCCACGTAATATGGAAAAGCTCTATAGCTCTACAGCAGTTGTTGATGAAGATATAACCTTGCGGTTTTCGCGGTCCTTTGCCACTTTTTTGTGAACCCCCCCCCTCTATATCTACAGTTTCTCAGCGAAAATGTGAAATTGAAATCTTAACCCATCGAGAATTTCACAAAGAATCCAGTGGCCCCCTTCTTTTTTTTTTTTTCGGAGTATGGTTTTGGAGATACGACTCAAACTTATGATTTTTTCAAACGGAACACCCTGTATTTTATTAGCTCTTCAAATTCCCCTTTTTCCTTCGAAATGATATACAATAATGTATGAATATGAAATTTTCAAAAATGCTCCAAAATCACTAAAGGATTGAACTTTAATAGTGGGCAATGGATTTTTCATATGAAAAATTGAAGGAATATGTCTTTTTATTTTAGCATGAAGAAGACAAAAATAATACCAACACTGATTAACTAACAAAACACAAATAAACCCAGGTAGTGACAGATTTTCGGACGTGCCTTTTGGAGGTTATCATTATGTTTATATTTTGATGTTATAAAAAAGATACGTACAATAAGAATTCTCCCGGGTTCTTCATGCATTATAAAGCATGTTTTCAAGGTTTAGGTGTATTTGGACATGCGCAAACGGTATGTCATATTTTATTTGGCAAAAAAAAACAGCTAGAAAGAAATTTTGCCAAAGTGATCGCCCTGTGAGTAATTGAACTTAACTTCATTACCAGCAGGAAGAAAAACTCTGATAAGATTTCCACAAAATTCTCAAACACACGACATATTCCGCTAACACAGTAGCTTCGTCAGGTGATGTACTGGTACAAATGAGTTCATTTTACCAGTATATCACCTGATAACGAAGCTACTGTGTTTGCGAAACACGTCGTGCTGTGTTTGAGAATTTCGTGGAAATCTTATCGTTTGTGAAGTTTTCACATTTGCCATGGATTTCCATCAAGAAACGGCCGAGTCAATTCAAAAAACTCTGAGTCATCTCCACAAGTTTTAATATATATAGTTTCGAGTATATACCCATCATCAGTCTCATTGAAACCTACGGAAATACAATCAAAAGTAATACTATACTTAGTAATATGAATAAAAGGCAAGCATGGTCAAACATTGAGGTTATAAAATTTCCGGGAAAATTGTAAATTGAAGTACTACTTACATTAGGAGATGAAAAAATTACATAAGCAGCAATATATTGCTGAAATTTAACGTATCTACGTCTTAGCACTTGTATCTAGTCTTTTTTTTATCGCTTGGAGCGCACGAAAGGGAATCCCTATAATGTTCAAAGAACATCGTGCGTTCCTAGGGAGGATAGGGACAGGAGGTAGGTATTAGAATTTTTTTTGAACTTTTGGAGATTATATGTAAATCAAAAATCATTGAACTGCGGATGGATTACACTTTGATAAGAAACAAAAACAAACTAAGTCTAATCATTCACTTCTGATACAAGGCGTAAAGAAGTTGAGGGTGATAGAGTAACTTTCGTTTTCCCCTGTTTAGAGATCAAGACATCAGCTTTTTTCAAGAATTAACATTCAGGCTAACACTTCGAAACAAGAAACTACGATTTGGTCGAAATTTCACCAGATAAGAACAATAATCAAAGAAGTTAAATTTTTTTCTGTCCGTTTTTTTGCCAGTGGCTATATTTTTCGCTCACCGTTTTGACGCAGGCCTTGAAGAAGGAGAAATACACGTCGACCAGCTTCCTGGCCACGTCTGCCGCCTCGTGACTCAGCTGGTACTGCGAGAGGAAGCACAGGCTGTAGTACTGCGCCCTTGAGGCGACGTTGGCCCTGAACATCAGCCGCTCGATCTCACCAAGCACCACCTGTTGCATGTTGGCGTGCTGGAACAGCAGCTGCGTCAAGCAATACATCACCTTGGAGGCGACCTTTTGCGAGGGGTCACCCAGTTTGTTTACAACGTATTTCAGGAGGTTCTGGAAAAATCAGACATTCTCACATCTCAAAATGACAAAATCCAAGTGAAAATAGTGTTTTCTAGGTTGGTGAGACCACTTTTTTATCGCATCCGGTGTCCTGAAATGCATCAACCACAAGCGAGAACTGGATTTCGTTGAGTAATTCGGTAGTTGCCAGCAATATTGAACCTTGAACAAAAGGTAAGCTGCACACGAGCAATCGAGAAATCACGTGGTATATTATGTCGGCGCTTGTTCACCAAGTACTTCAGAAGGTTATGGAAAACCAGGCACGATCAGGGCCGGAAAATGAAAAAAAAACCTTCTCAAATCTCAAAATGATAAAACAGATGTGAAATAGCTATTTGTGTATTTAGAGCGCAAAGTGATAGATTGTCGCTCGACAAAGAAAGTTACCGCGCGATGCGGAGCGGAGCGCGGTAATCTTTGGAGAGCGGCAATAACACTTTGTGCTCGAAATACACACAAGATTTTTTCTACTAACGCATCTTTTGGAAATAACTACCCCGAAAGTATGAGCGATTGAAATAGTTGAGAAAGTTCTAATCTATATTAGGTCCAAAGGAAACAAAAAAAAAGAAAAATTGAAATAACTGACAAGCCAGAAAAAAATGTCGGGCCTACCGAGAATTGAAACTTGACCACCAGCGTGGCAAAGTGAGCTCCAGACCTCTGAGCCATAGTACGATAAACTCTGCAATCAAATTGAACATTACTCATTGATGCAATTAAATAAAGATACACTGTCTTTCTGATGACAACAAAGAGTTTAAATATAAAGTATAATTCATCGTTTTAAACAGATATGCTTCATCGGGAGCTTCTTGTAGAAATTTGTTGGTATATATCTTCAGCGGTGGATGTTTTGGATTTTTCTCGCTTTATATCCAACAGATTGTTTCTTGAGAAATGCGATAAGTTTCAGATACTTATTGATTCCGATATTATCTTTAACATTCAAGCATGTATACGTACCATCGAATATATAGAGACCAATGAATTGATGACTTCAAAGTCTTTGATTTTTTACCAAAATAAGCCAATAAAACGTTTTATGAATACATATTCACCATCTCGGAGTGGCACCAATTTATGAATGTATCATATTGTAATTCATATTTCTTCCTTGATTTCTTCGGTAAGAGATTCAAACTCTTGCGATTTCTGCTATATCATCAGGAAGGAGGTGTGTTTGATGATTCACTGTAACTATTTTCCATCATGAAAGAATTGGGGGTTTCAAGAATATATAAGAATAGGTTACAGAGATAAGCGAGTGTTTTTTCAATATTTCCGCTCACGAGCGCAAATGCTGTCAAAGAATTACATTTCTGGGAAAACGTCAACTTTGTGCTGGAATTTGAAAGCGTCAAAGGCTACTTTGTTAAGCGTTTGTAGAAAAATGATGTTTTTTCACCACTAGCTATGCCATTATTTACTCCTTACCAAGGTAGTTTTCGTCACGTTATGAACGACTAGTCAACAAAGACATAGCCACCTCTGTTGAAATTAACCTAAATTGACTGTTATGAGGCGATATTCGCTGGAATGGAACTCGAATCTAGTAAATAACGACTTGTCATATATTATGCTGTCATTGTCATGACTACTAGATTTCAATTAGAATGGAAGAGAAGTGCTTTCATAGTGACAATACGTCCATATTTCAGTATCACAGAACTATACCTTTTCCAGATGTATTTCAGAAAGCGTCAATTCAATTTCAGAAAGCATCAATTGTATTTCAGAATAGTCAATTGTATTTCAGAAAGCATCAATTGTATTTCAGAATAGTCAATTTAATTTCAGAAAAGGTCAATTGTATTTCAGAATAGTCACTTGTATTTCAGAAAGCGTCAATTGTATTTCAGAAAATATCATTTGAATTTCAGAAAGCGTCAATTGAATTTCAGAATGCATCAAGATCGATTAGTTAGTAGAAAGTGCACTCCATGTAAGAATGCATAGGAATCATAGGATGTTCTGTGCTTCCTGTAGTGATGTTTTCATTTTATTCACCCCAATTTTTTTTTTTATGTACTTTTTAGGAACCTATATACTATTTGATGAACAGATCACAGAATTTCAGGTATAGAGGGGACAATCAGAGATAAAGTTCTTTCTATTGCTATAAAAAAGTTCTGATTTTTACATGTTTGTCCAATCGGAAGTGACTGGCTGTTTGAATGATACTGTAGAATAGGCTCCTTAATAACATTTACAAAATCGAGCTCTGTTGCTATGTCGTAAATGTCATAATATTTTCACGACTTATGAAGTTGCCTGGCAGGAGAACACCCCGTGGAAAGTGTCTGGCAATTGTATATTCTCTATCATGATAGGATCCGATTGAACATAAAAAGATCAGCTTTTATTGAAATGATGTTTATGCCAATTTTTTTTGTACTTTCAACACTCGGTATCTCTTGAAAGCTCATCCAGTACTATAGATTTTCAACCCACACAACGATTCCACCGAATAAGATATACCACACATAGAAAATATCAACCTTGTTGAAATGGCGTCTGGCGGTCGCTGGCTTTCAGTCTATAGAGAAAGATTTCTGAAATTCAATTGACTATTCTGAAATACAATAATCAATGCTTTCTGAAATTCAATTGACGCTTTCTGAAATTCAAATGATACTTTCTGAAATACAATTGACACTTTCTGAAATTCAATTGACTATTCTGAAATACAATTGATGCTTCCTGAAATTGAATTGATTATTCTGAAATACAATTGAAGCTTTCTGAAATTGAATTGACTATTCTGAAATACAATTGATGCTTTCTGAAATACAAGTGACTATTCTGAAATTCATTTGACGCTTTCTGAAATTGAATTGACTATTCTGAAATACAATTGACGCTTTCTGAAATACAAGTGACTATTCTGAAATTAAATTGACGCTTTCTGAAATACATCTGGAAAAGGTGTAGAATGATTGAAATGTATTGCTAGTGGTAAAAAAAATGTGATATACACCTTGGCAGTAAAGAATATTATTACCACGGGACTGTATACCCCTCGGCTGAAGCCTCGGGATATAATCTTGGTCCCTGGGTAATATACACCTTAGTGTATAAAAAACTATTTCTGGGGTAATGAAGCCCATTTCTTATCGTAAATACACTTCCGGTACTATGAAATGTATCAATCACAAGCGAGAACTCGATGTCCATAAGGAATTCGGTCGCAGGGAGCGATTTTGAACCTTAAACGGAAGGCACTTTGATCACGGACAATCAAAGAATCACGTGTTATATTACATCACCCTGGAGGCGACTTTCTGCGAGGGATCCACCAGTTTGTTCACCAAGCACTTCAAAAGGTTATGAAAAACCAGCCACGATTAGGGCCGGCAATTGAAAAAAAAACTTCTCAAATCGCAAAATGACGAAAGAAACTTGAGAATGGTGTTTTCTGGGGTAGTGAGGCCCCTTTCTTATCGTATATAAGTACTTCCAGTATCCTAAAATGCATCAACTACAAGCAAGAACTAGATTTCTATGTAAAATTCGGTCCCAGGGAGCGATATTGAATCTTAAACGGAAGGCAAGCTGTACACGGGCAATCGAGCACTACCTGTTGCATTTTGGCCTTCCCACATCTCAACACGATAAAATATGTGAAATGTGAAAATGATGTTTTCTAGGGTAGTGAGTCCCCTTTCTCAACGTGGATACACTTTCCTAATAACACAAGATGTCCATTGGATATCCGTATATTGTGTCCATTGTCACATTCTGGACAATAGGATGTCCACATGAAGATATCCAGTGGATATCTAGTTGAAATGTTTCATATGGTATCCCATTATATGTCCAAGGAGCCCATGAACACAATCTGGATAACAATAGGATGTCTACATCAATATATCCGTTGTATGTCCAGGTAAAGTAATCCATATGGTGTCCATTCCATGCCCTCTCTGATAATATGTTTCTAAACACAATCGTCTCGGGCATTATCGACGTCGTTCGTGACCACAGGCCCCCATGGTCAGCTGTATCAGAGCAGTGATAGAATGAAAAAAAATGAAGGTGTACATTCTGGGCGACGCAGATATTCATCTTTATTGAAATTCGTCCTAACATTGTACTTTTATTCACTTGTTATTCACCTCTCATTCACTTTCTAATAGTGAAATGTTTATGGAAAAATAATTACTCTAAAAAATTAGGCTTAAAATAGACCTTACGTACTTGATACCATTCAAGAACCTCTTTTAAATTTTGTTCTATCGTTTTTCTATCTCTTCTGATAGTGCTGAGACATTGAGCTTCCTTCACCCTGTACAATATAATGTGACATTTGAATGAGAATATATAATTTCAAATTTGGATTCATTTGCCTTCCTAATCCTGTAAGAATAAAAATGGAATTTCACTTTTGAGACAATAATAAAATCAATAATTATTTTCAAATAATAATTGATTGCATCATTATCCTTTTTCCTAAATGAATTTATATTTAATTACATATACTCTTGAATAAAAGCAAAAACCAAGAAAATATTTCAATAAATACGAGCGCTTCCCATTATCCTACAAAATATAGAAAGAGATAGGTATCCGTAACCACTGCGGGTTGCCTGAACAATATTTTTGCCTCACTCGTCGTTCACAGAGGATTCCTTCCAGTTGTTTACATTGAGTTCAATGGTTCACCCTATAGAATTCATGGTACGTTGTTCTGGGACATCTTGTACATATATCATGGGAGGGAATGGATAACTTTCCTCTCTTGATATATAAATAGCTATTTTTGAAAGAAATTCTAGATCGATATAGTACTATCGATTGTATCGAAATAAACTATCGATAGATTTCCACCTCTACTACTTACCTTCTCCTGCTCCGGATTCCCCGCCAACAACTTGTACATGGCGGTGACGGCCTTCTCTTTGTTGCTGTCGACCGTGTCTTGAGCCACGGCGTTCAAGGCCAACACGAAAGTGGCGTACGCCTCTTTCAGCTGATCTTCGAAGTACCAGGCGGCGAGCAGTTTGCGTCTGCTCACCGCGTTGCCCGACGACAGTTCCGTCAAAAGGGACAGGGGGCGCTGGTGGAAGGGCGAGAGTCTTTTGCCGGGTCTCAGGAGGTCGTTGGTGAAGAGTTCGGTCAGGGTTTCTGCGGAAGAGTTTTATATTTTGTCCAGATTTTGTTACGTTTTCGCGAGCTTATTATGTGTAGGCAATCTATTTTATCGATCCATTAGTACCCGAGAGCTGCTGCCTCTAGCGAGGGAATATGGAAGTATTTCTTTGTTCAACGATACGTACCTACTTGACTATTTTTAGCAATTTCGGTTCCCACCAGACGCGACAAACGTCTAGCTAGACCAGGGAATCTTTCAAACATCGAGGTCAAGTGACGTCACCCACAACACATGCTATTTCGCTTCTTCCTACTTTTATTGAGAAACTACGACTACTACGGTGTTCAAGCCAATCAATGAGAATTTTTCGTTTGCCGAAACGAGCGGTAAGACTAGTTACTAATGCTGCTTATGAATCCTCATGTAAACCATTCTTCACGAAATTCAATATATTGCCTTTACCGTGTTTATTCATCTACTATTTTGTGCTACATATACATAAAAATAAATGGTCCTTCAAAACTCATTCTTACATCTACAACCACAACACAAGAAATGCAGAACTTCTGAGACCGCCAAAATATAAACTAACTGCTTCCCAGAAAATCTCACTCAATCTACAACTATACAACAAACTTCCCGATTCAATAAAAACAATGAATTCACACTACTCTATCCAAGATGACCTGAATTGTGAAACTATGTACTCACTTTCATTGTCAATGTATTTTTTTTATGTGTGTGTTAGTGATCATATAGTACCTATTTACATTAGAGTTCAAGTTATTGGTATTTCCAACGATAGCCTGCCATACATGAATATGTAACATAACATGGTTAAATAAACTATCTATCTATCTATATTGGGTTCATTGACTACGAGTTGAGCGATAGATTAGTGGTCTGTGTATCTGACTTCCACGGTGGTGACTGGAGTTCAATCCCTGCGAGGCATCAACTTTTTTTGTAACTTTTTTTACTCAATTCTTTTGAAAAAATATATTTTTCAGGGAAAAGGTTCATTTAGGACAGGTTATGTTGAAAGTACTCTCCTTTCTTGTCTATAATACCTTATAGACAAGAATAACCTTCTGATAACCTTGAGGTTTGAAAAATTCGCTGGTCTAGCTAGACGCTTGTTTATTATATAGCGGACTGTATTTGATGGGGAAGTTTCCTCCCGATGAATTTTCATAAAATAAGTCTAAAACTCTCCAGTTTTATGTCCACGCTGTACAGAATGGCGATCGATTAGGTCTAAGTCGTTTTCATTTTCAAATTAAAGCAATTTATAATTTTCGGGGTGGCAAGCTGTGACGTACATACATTCTGAATCTAATCTGGAAATAGCTGATGGTGGAGAACATTGCTAGCGAATAGCTAACGAATGAAAAAAATAGAAGTCAAACTGGTAAACAAAAACATACATAACCACAAATATACTCGGAGCAGGAATGCAGAGGGTAGTTGGCTTCATTCTGACAGGATATGGTTTTGTTATTTAGGCATTGAAATATCTGGAATAGAGCTCGATCCTAAACGAAAATATATGAATCATTATCGGCTATACATTCAATGATACTATCCTTCCTAATTGACTGTCATCGGTCAGAACAGAATGAAGCCGACACCCATGGCTCTTTCCTCTTGTTGTGCCTGTCAGTATAGTTCAGTGGGAGGGACTCGAAGTATTAGGCGCTGTTGCAAGATATAATCTGCAACTTTCCTAGAAAATACATCCGTTTTATTAAGGAACGAATTCATTAGCAAAAAATGACCGACAAGTTATGAATAACATATTGTAATATAATGATAGTGAACAATTATAGATACTATTGCAAAATATCATAATTCATCTTTATTAGTAATCAACTTCGTTCAGCCAATGAGAAATTTATGGGAATTATTCATAATACTTGAAAAAGTAGGATTGAAGAACCGATTATATTCCATTGCTGTTATGATATAGTTATTATGCATTCAAAGAACAATTTTCGGAAATCTAGACATATTGATGATGTCGGCAACGTCGTACTGGCACAGGGAATCGTATTTTATAACTCTGTGTGAATGTGGATTTTCAGAAACTACGTCATAGGAATGGTGGAGGAGCCAAGTTCCTCTGTTATTAATTTTTTTCTGAAGTGAAATTTCATCTTACGAAAATAAGAAAATATCCGTATATATTAATTTTTCACAAACGGCGCATTCAATTCATCAGTTCGTTTGACGTTGGCTATTAGGCAATATAGTTGTAGGTGATGTATATTTTTGGTTGAGATAAACAAACGTCTTTGGATTATTTAGTGTCTTGATAATCGAGGGACAAAATGCGCTGGTGGAAAGGCGAGAGTCTTTTGCCAGGTCTGAGGAGGTCGTTGGTAAAGAGCTCGGTAAGGGTTTCTGGGAATGAAGCCAAGATTCAGTGGCGGATTAACGTTTTCAGGCTGGATTCGTTTTTATTTAGAAACAATATTTTGATATCAATGCATTGCCTTTTTACCACAGTGTAAAAAATGAGACTGATCAATATTAAAATAATTACCTCTTGTTATTACTGGATAAGATACACTCACCGGTGAGAAATAAAAGTTTGCTGAATTTCTAATTCAACTCCAATTTTTGGTGAAATTAGGACCAAATTGTAGATTTATGTTTTAGAGTAAATGATAATTCCCAAAAAAGCTGATGGCTTGATCAATATACAGGGAAAAACAAAGATTACTCTTTAATCCCTAATTTATTAATGCCCCATGGCAAAAGTGAGTGGTTAAACTCAGCTTCATCATGTTTTGGTTTGAAGTGTGATTCATGTCAATATCTTCATTTTAATGCTGGGTTCATAGATTCAATCAAACTAACAATTAGGAATCAACAATCAACAATTGATAATCATGAGGGCTGTTTATACATATCTGATATTAATTAAGAATTAAATGTGAAATGTCTCTTGATTAAATATCAAAATGATATTAAAGATTTTGGTCTCCACAATTCATGAATCCATTAAAAATATTCCAATTTATTATCACCAAACTCCACTTGAACAATAAAAAATCCAATCTTCATGTTCTGTCTCCAGAATTTCCCAATTCTTAGTTATTAAGTTGAAAGATGGCAACCTTTGTAATTCTTAATTCAAATAACATATTATGTAAATGTATAAACCCTGATAGATGTTTCCTTATATACAACTTTTTAAGTTCATAGTTGTTAGTTCAATTCTTAGTTTAGTTGAATCTATTAGCCCAGCATTGAAGAATATACAAATGTTTCAACAACTGGAAGCTATGGCAGATGAATGCTATTATTCAAGCTCAAGAAGGGCATACTCTGTTTGATTATATCTAGGAGCTCTGCTCTTTATTAATCAAAGTTTTTTGCCTCTGTGTGCTGAGAATATTGGGTGGAAATAGTGATATTTATTCTTAGATGTTTTTTCAAGTTATACAAGGTCATGTAGGTTCTAAAAATATTGTCCATAAACATTTAAAAAATGCCATTTGAATAGCCAACACAGGAAGAATTTTCAAACATAAGAAAATGAAAAGATACACCAATAAAATGAAACAAAGTAAGTAAAATGGGTTTCTTCATAGAATAATTGTTTTGTACTTACCCATGACTTTAACACATTCCTTCTTTTTGCCTACTTTCACCATTCCAATCATATTCCTGATTGTTTCTAAATTACATATTGGATTCTCCTGAATTAAAACTGTGTGTGCAGCTATCTTATCAGAAACTGTACCTTTAGTCATAACAGTTTTCATCCACTGATAATCTCGATTTGTTTTAGAATTTTCTGCAAGAAGAATAACATTCCACACCAGAATGATGAATTAGTTCCTTGATTAGTTCATATAGATAAGAACAACTTACTTAGATTGTAATTAGCAGTTTCAGAATCATGACACTTTTTTGCTTCATCTTTTAGATCAATCAATACTTGTTCTGTGCACTTTTCAAATGTTTTTGGGTCTTCTTGAATCTACAACACATTTCAACTCAGCATGATTGGGTTGTTTCCAATTCCAAGTTAATTTACCTCATCAAACCATTTTTTGGGTTCTTCATATTCAAGGAAATCATCGTCTATGTCTACTTTCGAATTCTTTTTTTGGGGCTTATCCCTCGAGTCCCCCTTCATCTTCATTTTCTGAAAGGACGGTAATGCAAAAACTTAAATTTCGACATATATTTCTTGCATGGATCTTGATACCTTGATCTAGAGCTGCGGTGGGTACAGAAATTATCATGTATTGAATATCGTATTCCTGTAACTTTGAAAACAAAGTCAGAAAATCACGATGAAAATCACAATAATAAAAACAAGCATGCAAATGACACATTCATATTACATAACCTAACAAATTCGAAAATTTCAAAAACATACGGTCGATGTCTAAGATACCGCGAGTCGGACTTGTGTTGAGTGCAGGCGTTCAAGAACCGGCAAGCGGACTCATAACAGTCATTAATGAAGGGTGATTCGAATGTGAGCGGCATCTTTTCGGGCGTGAAATCCTTGCATGAAAATGGGGCTTTCTGAGGGATGACTACGCCCCTTCGAAAAGGAAGCGATTTTTTTCTTCTTATAACTTCAAAACCCTCCACAATCAAATTTTAAAGATTGGTGTACGATATAAACATTTGATGATAAATAAGACTTCAAACTCAAAATTCTGAAAAAACTTCAAACTCAAAATTCTGAAATTTCATTCATGAGCGTCACATACACGATACACGAGATGATAAGGGTAAAAACATGAGTTAGTACGTACGTACGAGTAAAAAGGTTCACTCTGCTCTTAGCTCAATTTAATGAAACGTACCATTTACGAGAAAATCGACTTTGGGAACTTTCTGATTTGCGTATGTGTATTGATGAAAATTATTCTGCATAACCATTGAAAAAAGAACAACCCTATTTCACTAACTTTTTATTCAACGAGTTTTAATTCAGAAACTTAATTCGATATCAAATATTTTACTAACTACCGACCTAACTACGAACATTGCCCAGTCAACACACGGACATTCGATGGACATCCATTGGACGTCCATTTAGGATATTTGGGATATCCAGAGAATATCCAGTGATATCCGATGTATATCTTATGGACATCCAATGGACGTACCGAGTGGAAGGAGTTGGACTTCTATAGGATATCCTTCAGGGACATCCATAAGACATTTTTCAGGGATATCCATTAGATATTGTTCACAAATATCCATAAGACATTTTTCAGGGATATCCATAAGATATTGTTCACAAATATCCATGAGATATTTTTCAGGGATATTTACTAAATATCCTTAACAATATAGAACACCATGTATATTATTCCATAATGAATTAGGAACTATTATAACGAATTCAACGGTACCGGATTGGATAGGGTTATTTCAAACGATTACGAAGATATGGCATTCGAACTTTTCATTTGCTCATTGAGGATATGGAAATGTGAATATCTTTCTAATCGTTTGTAGAAATCCTATCAAACACAGTATCGTTGAATTCGTTATGATAATCCGATTATGGAATAAAATACAGGGTGTCCCGTTTGAAAATGCCATCCTCGGTTAAACCAAAAGTGCGGTAAAACAAGTAGATATGTCGAATAATATAAAATGAACTATAATTCATGACCCCAATTGACGTTTTACTACCTACAATAGGAGTGAACCACCTTAAGCTTTTGCTCATACCTCATGAAAGAATTCAATTTACCATGACTTTCGACATGGATGCATTTTTAGACCAATCAGAACGATTCTAGCCATGGAGGTTAATTCGAATTGAATTCAATCTTTTGAGAGATAAATAGAGGAGGCGAGGTGGCCGGATTTGAATCGCGTTATCCCTAGCGCAACAATGAAGCTATTTCAAGAATTAGATTCACTTAGATTTTTCCATCTTTCTTTTGGAAAATTTGTCATTCGCGCGAATGCCATATTGATTTATATTTTATTGCTTCAGAATATTTTATTACTATAGGAAAATACCTACCCAGTTTTGAATTCAGGGATGCGAATATATCTTCTTATGGATCTCCATCTCAATCCCAAGGAAAAAAATGGAGATACAAGTTATTTCTGAAAAATCATATTTTTGTGCGAGAATGTTGAAGAACAAAAGGTATTTTGACATAAATATGATTTTATGTTTTCTTTGGATATCTTATGGCTATCCATAATATATCTTCTGATGGATATCCGCTATAAATCCATGGATGAATATCTCATGGATGTCCATCTGAAGACCACAAAAAAGTAAATATATGAGAGCTATTTTCGAGTGATTGTATATTTTTGTACGAAAACATTGAACAACAGAGAAAAATTCCAAACTGTGGTGTTGTTATTTATATGAATTCATATTTGCATCGGATATCATAATTGTGGCTATAAACATATTATACCTACATAACAATAGTTATATATGATGGAAAACTACCTTTGAATTTCTAATAAACATGTGATTTGCATGTGATATTTGTGATGATTCGTATTGTTTTGAACCATTCTCAATTAACAATTTTTGTTCGCTAAACGAACATCTTATGGACGTCCATAGGTGATCCGCATCAGAATATCCATTTGATATCCTCTGACGGATATCCTATGGGTATCCATTTCATGTCCCAGGATATCCCGACCTGAAATGGACTTGAGAAGGATATCCATAGGATATCCTGTGTTATCTGGGTGATGATGATATGATTATTGAGACGAAACTATAGCGAGAAAAACGAGTGTATAATGACGAAAAGCTGACACCATTCATATTTCTCTCTCGTCCAGCACCTGCTGTTCCATTCGAAATTATTATATAACGCATTTCAATGTTACAGGGTGCGTTGAATAAGAAAAAGTTAGATTTTGTGGAATTCATTCAAGATCATTCATTCTCAGTGGTAGTGGAAGGAACAAAAATTCAAACAGGCATTTTATTGATGAGCTTCACTATGAGCATTTTCTTTCTCATAACAACAATGAATTCAACCCGTTTCAGACCCCCTTTGCATCATTTGAGTCAGATACAAAAGTCACCCATCAATATCATATGATTCAGTTTGATCTGTACAGTGTGTCCAGTTTTCCATACTTTTGCACTGATTTTATTTCTGTAATAAGTCATTTTTGGAAAATGAAGCCAAATATATTTTTCAAAGGGAACACCCTGTAAATTTCCATCTAGTTCAATTCAGATTTCTTACAGCCTATTGAAAATATATAATAGTTAACATTGAAATGAAACAATTTTGGCTCCATTTCCGAAAAAGTAGCGATAACATGAATAAAATGAGTACCTCACTGTATTATACGTTGATGTTATATAACTTGTATGGATACAGGGACGTTCTCATTTCATTTCTGTAATAGCTCATTTTTGGAAAATGGAGCCGAAATTTTTTTTTAATGGGACACCCTGTATATTTCCATGCAGTTTGATTCAGATTTATTATAGATCATCAGAAATATATAATAGTTGACATTATAATAAAACTATTTTGGCTCCATTTCCAAAAAATAAGCGATAATAAAATAGTTATATAAGGCTTTGTTCTCATCCTGCCGATGAGTTGAAAAGTAACCAAGGTATGGAGTTGTTCGAAAAGTGAGAATTTTCAACTTCACTCTTTATCTCAAAAATTGTTTCACAAAAAAGTAGGATACCTAGTAATGTGCAAACCGCAACATTCTATCTCCAAAGATAACTGAGATATCGCGCAAAAGCACCAAAAACTGGACACACTGTACAAATGTAGGTAAGAAAACAATGGAGCGAGCATCAGTCCATTTATTTCACTGAGCATATAGATAAATCAAATTCCGAAACTATTGTCACCAGCGTTACATCAAGCTCAGCCCTCTTCTTCTTCAGCAGGTGCCTCTTCCGCAGCTTCCTCATCTCCTCCTTCCTCGCCACCTTCACCCTCTTCGCCTCCTTCACCTCCTTCACCTCCTTCGCCTTCTTTACTTCCTTCTCCCTCCTCCTTGTCCTTCTTCTTATCCCCCTCCGAACCACCTCCGCCGCCACCATCACCTCCAAGGCACTCCACGATCCTGTCGACGAGATCTTTGACGGGGTCCCAAGCGGCGTTCACGAGCAGCCCCAAGTACCAGAGGGTGAACATGCATGGGGGGTGCTGGTAAAGAGTCAAGTCACAGTAGTCCAGCTCCCATATGGAGGGCACGGGCGCCGAGTCCACCATTTTGTGGGCGTTTTCGGCACTGGGGTAGGTATCACGGTAATTTGGTAAAACTCAATGGATGATTTATTCGGTCATGACGTTTGGATCTGTCGAAATTTGACGGAGCTTCAACGAGACACGTTGCTACTTGATGTCATCATCTTATATTTATCCTCACAAACTCAGTCACAAATGTCTCTTCGACGTTAAAATTGCACAAGGTGATGAGTCGTTTTTATGGAAACGAACATTAGGGATTTTGGAGTTAGTTCTGGTAAAGGGTGAAGTCGCAGTAGTCCAGCTTCCATATGAACATGGAGGGCACTAGAGTAACTTTATATGACAGAGTGGCGACAATAGTGATGCACTTTTTGGATTGGTCAGACCTCAAATATGGAGGTATTCTCTCCATTCAGTTTTAAACTACTCAACACTAATTTCGTCGCATACCAAAATGTCGCCCCTGTTATAATGTGAATAACTTTTTTCAGTTTAAAACAATTTGAATTTGGTTTACACTGTTCCATAGCCCAGTCCTTCAGCTATAATCTGGTACTTCATTGAAACATAAGGGTATTCAAATAAAATCTCTACATGGTGTTTTCCGACACCGTGCAAAATTTCGGAATATTCAAAAGGCTCTCAAATGGTGAAAAAAAATTTTTCCTCAACTTCGACAACAGATGCATGAAGATGATGTCATTACCTCGAGATATTTCGCGAATCAACTTCCTATCTCTCTTATTTACAGAGTGATCTCAAAAAATGAACTTTTCGGTTTTGCAGCCATAACTTTTTTCCACGTCAACCGATTTTGGAACTCTTAGGCTCATTTTAAAGATAAAATTTCAGATGAAGAGATCTGAATATCAGAATTAACTCAAGATGGCTATCAAAGATCTAGAGTTTTCTTGAAAGTGACCCAAATCTGGACCGCCCTCCGAATCTCGGTTGGGAGGAGAATTGAATAAAAATCAACTTGTTCTCGGAAAAACAATTCATTCTGGATGCGTCCATATTTTCCTCGCTCTCAGTACTCAAGAATGTGCGTGAGAAAACACAATTGAAACATGTTCTTGCAAAAACATCAGACCATTTCTCCTCTGTAATGCATGGCCCGTAACCAACGTTACAAGAATTACAGTAAGTGACTGACAAGTCAGGTTAGATGTCGTTTTCGAATCATAAACAGATTTTGATAGTTTCGATGCCGCATCTAACGCCCGACCAGTTGGAACTGATTCCACAAATGAGGGAACAAGGGTTATCTTCCCTCCAAATCGCGGATCTGCTAAACACGACAGTCCGATTCATGCAAAGGGCTTATCTCCGACACGAATTGTTTGGTTATTACTGTCGATTCGTTCAGCGCATTATTGCGACTGAAAACTTTACGTAATTGGCAAACTGTTTTCGTGAAACTTTCACCATTTTTGAAATGCGTTTTTACAATAGCTTGAATTCTTGAATACTTCTCCATATTCTTAAATCGCATGTAATGTACGTGACAACTGTTAAAAAAATCACTTTATTGAAAAAATCAAAATCCGTTGCTCTTGTTGGTACACCATTTATGATGAGTCTCAGCTGGTCGGGTTTGTCAGTCACTCATTGTGATTCTAGTAACGTTGGTTACGGCGGGCCATGCATTACAGAGGATAAATGATCTAACGTTTTTGTAAGAACATGTTTCAATTGTGTTTTCTCACGCACAATTCTTGACTACTGAGAGCGAGGAAAATATGGACGCATCCAGAATAAATTGTTTTTCCGAGAACAAGTTGATTTTCATTCAATTCTCCTCCCAACCAAGATTCGAAGGGCGTTCCAGATTTGGGTCACTTTCAAGAAAACTCTAGATCTTTGATAGCCATCTTGAGCCAATTCTGATATTCAGATCTCTTCATCTGAAGTTTTTTCTTCAAAATGAGCCTAAGATTTCCAAAATCGGTTGACGTAGAAAAAATTTATGGCTTCAAAACCAAAAAGTTGATTTTTTGAGATCACTCTGTAATTAAGAGAGATAGGAAGTTGATTCGCGAAATATCTCGAGGTAATGACATCATCTTCATGCCTCTGTTGTCGAAGTTGAGAAAAAATGTTTTTTCACCATTTGAGAGCCTTTCGAATATTCCGAAATTTTGCACAGTGTCGGAAAACACCATGTAGAGATTTTATTTGAATACCCTTGTGTTTCAATGAAGTACCAGATCATAGCTGAAGGACTGGGCTATCAAACAGTGCAAACCAAATTCAAATTGTTTCAAACTGAAAAAAGTTATTCACATTATAACAGGGGCGACATTTTGGTGTGCGACGAAATTAGTGTTGAGTAGTTTAGTTCTACACATTATATTTCACGTTGTCGCCACTCTCACTCTAGAGGTACGGACACTGAGTCCACCATCTTGTGAAGATTTTTCGGGACTGGGGTAGGTATCACGGTAACTTGATGGATGATTTATTCGGTCATGACGTTTGGATCTGTCGAAATTTGGCGGAGCTTCAACGAGACACGTTGCTACTTGATGCCATCGTCTTATTTATCGTCACAAACTCAGTCACAAATAATGTCTCTTCGACGTGAAAATTGCACAAGGTGATGAGTCGTTTTTATGGAAACAAACATTAAGGATTTTCGAGTTAGTTCTGGTAGAGGGTGAGGTCGCAGTAGTCCAGCTCCCATATGGACATGGAGGGCACTAGAGTAACTTTATATGATAGAGTGGCGACAATAGTGATGCACTTTTTGGATTGGCCAGACCTCAAATATGGAGGTGTTTTCTCCATTCAGTTAGTTCTACGCATTATATTTCACGTTGTCGCCACTCTCACTCTAGAGGGACACCGAGTCCACCATTTTGTGGGCATTTTCGGCACTGGGGTAGGTATCACGGTAATTTGGTAACACTCAGTGGATTATTCGGTCATGACGTTAGGAGCTGTCAAGATTTTTTGACAAAGCTTCAACAGAATACGTTGCTACTAGAATAGTTTTAATAGAAACAAACATATTAGGGCTTTTATTTAAGTAAAAATTTGGGGTTCGATCATAGTTCATACCAAAAGTGATGAATTCGGTCACCAATGATTCTGAACTCGTAGGCGAAATCTAAATGTTTGTATTTCATTTTCATAAGATCAACAGAGCTGTTCAGAGAATGTAATCATTCATTTAATGTGAAAACAGTTAGATTTGTAGTATATGGATACGAAAGGCATCTCTGTCAGGGATTTGCATCCATCATTTGATGTTGATAAAGATCCATCAGTTGGTTTAGCAACACAGTGTATATCTGCTTTTACTAACAAATCCTCAGTGAGGTTTTTCAAAGCACGACTTGCGTAGCTTTCAAGCACGACTTGCGTAGTTTTAGACATATTCTTTAAATGACCGTGCCTAACACACCGGCCATACCGCAACCTTTTGTTTATATTTTTTGCAAATAGATTAATCATGATCTAAAAAGTATTAAAAGTATCGAAAATGGAAGTGACAATAGCTCTGGGCCATTTCTGTGATGTACACGGCCCTTGCGTGATACTGTGCACTGAAAGTACCCCTCCAGTACCACCTGAACGCGCTCTCGCAGCTGATATTCCCAATTGCTCTGCTTGCGAATCACTCGATTCCAACACCGTGTATTGTTGTGAGGATGAAAATTGTCACTACCTCAGCACTAGGACATCTCTGAACGTTGATACAGCACACTTACTCAAAGATGCTGTTCTGAGAAGTTTCAGCATCGAAGTGAGTTAACATTGAGCCACCGAGGTTAACACCTATATATTATGTGTTGTCGTTGTCTTGTCACGCTCAGGGTCGTCATTTCAGTGAATACCAGAGGGGGTCAAGAAACTCAGAACAAATATTCGTGCGGCGAAAATGCGCCGCAGGCGGAATATTTTTTTGGGTTCAAGGTCAAATGCCTTCTCATTGAAAATTAGACTTCTTCTAGAGTGACAACAACTCCATATCGTTATATCACAAGAGGGGTCAGGAAACTCAGGCATTTTGGTATAGTAAAAATGCAGTGCAGGCGAAATTTCTGGTCTGATTCAAGGTCAAATAATTTCAAATTGAAAATTAGATTTTTTCCAGAGTTGGCACAACTCCATCATATTTTAATAAATTATTAAGTTTCACCTTCTTAGTTGTAATTGATATGAAATTATCTGAAAATAACAACAATTAAAAGAGCAAATGGAAATTATTTGAAATACTATTTGTACAGGTTAACTGATTTTTTCTCATAGTTTCATTAGATGATGAAAATTTCTTAATGAAGATTGTGTCAACTACTGTGAGTGGTGATAATGATTCATAGGGAGCAAGGGATACTGACTCATTTTTTCATTTTATCAAAATAATTCAGAGATTCCATAATTCACTGAAATTTTGTTGTCTCATCTGAGTCAACAACTCAACAGCAATTAAGTTACTCATCAGTCTATTGCAAGGTCTATTGTAAATAATTTGTTATGCATTATTTCTCTAACATTGTCAAATAGCTGAATGCACCCATTTTTATATTTCAGGAAATTGTTTTCATATGTAGGTATATTGGCATGTGATTTTATAGGAAGGTTCTGTAGTATCCATATTTTGTAGAGGGGCAGGGAGGGGGTAATTCCGCGCCCCTGCCCCCCTTAAATGACGCCCATGGTCACGCTTTTTTATAACCTCACTTCATACCCTACTCAATTCAACATTTCAAAAATTTAGGAAGACAGCCACTTACAATTTTTTAATCCATTGCTTTGAGTATTCACATTGTCAGATTTTGATTCTGAATTGAAGGGCCGGTAATGAGGATGGTGACAAGCCACACATTTATGTTCTAAATTCAAAGTCATATACCTGTGGTCATACATATAGTGAGATTTTGTGTGTTTTCTAAAAGATAGCGCCACATAAATCCCCCAATAATAATCTGGATAATAATGAACCAAACTATTATAAAAGGAACTTCTCCAAGAGATGAACTTTTTTAGACAATTTATTAGACAGACGGTCAGTGGCGAAATATCATCAACGCCACCTGTATTCAATCGCGTGAAGTAATGGCTTGAGCTCTAATGCCAAGAGATTTTAAATTTCTGATTATTTTGTGCATTTTTGGGCCATTTGAAGGGATGAGTAGGGCCAGTAGTATGAACAATTCATGTGAATTCCGTCACGCTTTTTTTAGTACAGAAAGGTGTCCCAGGACTTCTTTTTTCCTCGGGAATGTACAGATTGTATCAAAATATCGTCGACGAAACCGCAAAACCAAGTAATTGCAAAAAACAAAATTTTCAGGAGACCCTAAACACTTTATAATTTCGGGTTAACTGATCAGATTCAATAAAAAATAGTAACAAACCACCTGATTATTATTATCCTTACGTTTGTACATTGATCATTGAAAAAAGTAATTGTTTCCGTTTGTCAGCGAAAGATACTTGGTTTTGACATCTGCTTCTGTGCGAAAGCAACAACAATTATTCAGAAAAGTAATTCGCAAAAACAAGTAACATCATTCTTCTGGACTTTCCGCTCAACAAATACTTGAGATAAATTCTCACATCCTGTGTTGAAATACCCATTGAAGTTAAGAATAAATTGTTTTACATATCTGTTCTATAAAAAGTCACTCACCAATTAGCAGAGATTGATCTCTGTGAAAAGAAATTGAACACAAAATATCAGAGGCGTGAATCACGTTGTCAACTGTTAGATACTTGTTTTTGACGACCCCTTTTATTTTGTTTTTCAGATAAGGGGTTTTGTATTCATGGATTTTAAAATATTTGCAATTTTTTACCAGTTGTGAGGTTTTGCATCCTCACCAATAATATGATAGACCGATTGCCGCCAGAATCCCATTTTCGAATTTTTGTCAGTTACTTGGTTTTGCGGTATACTATTTTAGATCTCAATTTTCGTTCATTTTTCGGTTATATATTTTCTGCTCTTCAATGGGGAAGACTACTAAGGGAAGAAATCCGTGCAAACCTCTTTCAATCGACGAATCATGATTTACATTTTATGTACAATCAATATTATGAGTTGAAGTTGAAGGGAATCGAATCTATATCGTTTTGAAATCAGCATATTTCATTCGATATTTCAAACAACCAAATATGATGGTGGAGTCGTGACGTATATATTAGTCCCGAACTGTAGCTATCTCTCTCTGATACCTCGTCATTCTGCAGTGTTGCAGTGTAATTGGTCAGTTCAAGGACAATAGGCGTGTTGGGACTAAGACGTCGCACCAGTCACACCAATGAATTGATGAAATTTCAAATGGCGCAGGAATTGTGTGTTTCGAAATGGACATATACTAATTTATTTTTTTCATCGTCTTAGCATGAATGAAAAAATTCAAAATTAATTCACTGGTAGTTTTTCAGTATAGAGTTCACGATAATGTCGTTTTAAAAAATCAGTGGTCTTCCCCATTAAAAAAAGTTCTCATGAAAAAAAAAAGTTTTAAAAGTGGGTTATTGATACATTGTGAAAAATATCAATTGCTTATAGCTTATTTTTTAGTGTCTAGACTAGAGGAACGCACTGTGTGAGTAATAAACGTGTGATGTATGGACAAGAATGACTAACAATTTTTTGTGCTAATTCAGAAAGGTAAAGGAACATTCCTCACATATTTACTCATCATATCATTGTGGTTTGTGATCATTGGAATGAATAAACCAGATACCTACCTTCTTTCCTTTATTGACAACTAAAATTGTAGGTTGTGGAAGAAGCTGGAAGAAATTCAGGGACAATTTATTTTGGTGACAACAAAAGAGGCCATATCATATCCCATGTTTTTAACATAAAGGATTTACTTGCAAGAGGTTTTAGAAGAAAATATTGCATAGTTATACTGGGAAAACACCAGGTGGGTGAACATTTCTGAGACTCTTATTTCCCTGACAATAGCCTGATTTGTATCATGAAAGGAGCTCATTCTTTAAATCAAATGGAATGTTTTCTCATTTAGGCCAGACTAGGAGAACCAGCATTACTAGGTTTAAGGAACATCTTGAACAATTCGAAATGTGTGGTGATTCTTTTCAGAATGTAACGAGTATTTAGAAACTTGGGAGAAAAGTCAAGGTATATTTATTTCATGTAATAATTCCGACGAGAAGAATATCTCAACAAAATATTCAATGTTAAATAAATCAGAACCACCCACTTTTGTACAGATAAATTTGATAGTGTTAGAAAACTTTTTCGAGTTTTTGGCAGGCATCATTTGGGTACCCTAGTTGAGACAACTGATTTATATACAGGGTAAAAAAAATGTATAGAAGAAACATTTTTCAACACCTTATTGTATCTTGAGAACGGATGCCATTATCACAATCATTTTACTGAGCAGACTCAACTTATTTTGCAGTGTTCTACCTACCCTAGCAAGAGGGTCAGGATTTTTTTAAACACCCTGTATAGTGAGGGCAACATCGATCCTTCAACATTTTTCAGGTATCCTTGTTGAATCATTACGACTTTCTGGAGAAGAATCTCAATCGCATCAGCACCGACCTTCAACGGAAAGCCAACGAAATCAACACGGCTGAGGATGACTCGCTGTACAGACGAAACGTCGACAGAATGACGGCGGCGAGCAAATTGTCGCTGAGACCGTTGCCGCTACTGGTGGGGGAACCACACTTGTTCGCCCATCTACACATGTGGTCAGTAGAGTGACTCTATGAATAGAATGACGACAATATAGTGTTACGCTTTTTGATTGGTCAGACCTCTAATATGGAGGTGTATCCACCTGTATTGTTTTCTTCATTCAGTTCGACGCATTCTATTTCACATTGCCAAGGATTTGTCTCTCTGTTTTTTGCTCTTTGTACACGAAACATCAAACAATTAGACATGAAACTCTCTCAAATTATTTAGATGATGAAATGAAAATATCAAATATCTAAACCTAACTGCAGGTAGGCACTTCGAAGGCGCAAATTCATTAATGCATGGGAGTTACCTTTGAGATTTTCAGCTTTTCAGTGACTTGACCACGAATGACATTCCGGAAACGACCGCCATTTGGAGGTCTATTGTCGACACTTTTCAATCTACTTACACTCTAGTAAAATTGTTCTAAAATTGTACTATCCGTCATTCGGCTGCCCCCTTACGACCCAGCGAGCACAAACATCCCTGGGATGTTTTGGGATGTTTTGAAAATGTTGGCATGAAGATGTTATTTTGAGACGTAATATGCACTGACCAAAGAGGTCTTTGAAGGATATTGAAGTATTGTTTTTGTTCTTCTGTGGCATTTCTTTGTTTGCCTACTGAGAGGTATTCCTGAGATGTTTTGGGATGTTTCAGAAATGTAGGCATGAGAATGTTTTTTTGAGGCGTAATATGCACTTCCCAAAGAGGTCTCAGGAGGATATTGAAAGTATTGTTTTTGTTCTTTTGTGCCCTTTCTTTGTTTGCCCCACCACAACGTCTCATGCTCAAGTCACAATACGATGAATTCTGATTTGTTTTCGATTTTGTTCTTCTTGTTTGCAATTGGCATTCGCGTTTGCAGCGTGTCACGCTTACATTACGCTGCTAACGAACAGAAAGGAATTTGGTGAAGTTTATTGTGTTAGAAGACTTATTTAGTTTATAATAATGACCATCAGATGCAAGATGTTTTTTTCGGTGCCTCAGTGTAATCAATATATAAAAGTACGAATTTATCAATACACAACTTCTCCGCAGTTGCAAAATTATGCATTGTGGAGAACATTTCAAAAATTGGGAAACCTATTTCCAATTATATGTCTGTGTGTAGTAAGCACTACTCAGAAACCGATTAAGAAGGTAATTTCATATCAAGAAAATATTTTTATGTTCAATCTATTTTTGATGCATTTTTTCTTTCAAGGGAAATGGAATCCTAATGCAAAAGTTCATTTTGACAAAAGGCTTCAGAAAAGTACCTCAAAAATGTTTTTTTACAGCGATTTAATGTGCGCAAGACGCGTCGAAAATGTTTTGTTGTGTCCATGAAAAGGCTTTAAAAAGAACTAGGGAGAAGGTAGTTTTGTATGACATATCAAGGACATCTCGATAATTGCCGCCTGCGGCGGACATTGGCTGTTCTATAATAGTTCTATTCATGTGTGAACAGAACATCGCAGTGGTGGTTCAATGTCTCGAAATCTCGTACTTTTAACATCTCTGAGATGGTTTTGTGCTCGCTGGGGAGCAACCTATCATTCCTTCAAAGGATGACGTTGAGTTTTGGGACCCTGTATATTGATTGATTGTCTTTATTACCCCAAGAAACATAGTTGTTTATAATAGGGATACATAAACAATATACATTTATCACGAAATCTAAGTGACAGAATCAAATTGGAGCATTCATTTCAAATATGATCAGCGTAATTAGATGAATGAATGAACTTTCTCGACGAACATTTTTAAACATTCTTGGAAAAACATATTTGAATGTTCATTGGAGTTTTTCGCTTCTAGGTTTGTGTTTTTGTTGAGAGCCAACATTTACAGGATCCTGCCACATGAGGTGCCAGAGTGCCCTGTACATTGTTCTTCGGTGGGAAAGCTCAAACATTTGAAGAGGGTCATGACAGACACAGTTTTCAGAATTGTGTGTTATTGCGTATTGACAGGTAATTTTTTGCTCAGATTTTATTATAACATAATTATGTGATTTCTCTTCGCTCTAAAGAGTATAGGTAAATTACTCTGGATGTGTCGATATAATAATATACATAATGATTTGTTTACTTTATGAAATGCTATAAATATCTATCGATTTATTTTCGTGGCTTGCCTAGAACTAGAGTTCCTAAATGTTCTTGACACTGCAGTTCTGACGTGTTTTGTATATTAGAGTACGGACACTATGGCTATATTCCGAATTCAACTGGTCAGTACTGTCAGTTGATCCACTGACTCTGCTGAAAATATGTGTTCCGAAATATAAAATCAAAAATTCACTACTGTAATTTGGGACTCGTTTTCATGGTTTTCATCAGTAGTAGTTTCTCGTTTATCCTGAACTAGATGTTTAGCCTCCTACTTGTTATAAATTTTGGAAATTTAATATTTAACATGGAAGAGAAATCGATTCTTGTATCTTCTATAGTTTCTACGATTGTTGACGATGGCGATTCAAGCTCGAGTGATGAAGAATACTTGGACATTTTTTTGCCATACATTTTTCATGATGCACCAGATTGAGAATTGAGATTCATGAAAATCGCAATATGCCTTAATAATGATGAATTTTAGGAGACATTCTAGGTTTATTTAGTTTATTTAGCCAATGCTGCTCCTTTCCTTACCTGATCTACTACTTCATACTCAATATCCATGATATTGAGAATCATTTCATTATAACAACGGAAATGAATGTTACATTCCTTCCCCCTCTAAAATATGACAGTTCACTGAAGCCACACTATACCTTTTGATAGTCAGCAATTCCAGCAGAATGTTGAGTCGAAATATTTAGAATGAATAGTATGTCTGCTGACAAGCATCTGTCACTTCCAGTGAATTTTTTGATTTCGGAATGGAAAATCAGCAGATTCAGTACTGTCAGTTGAATTCGGAATATAGCCTATGACAAACACTGACAATCAGACATAACCACAAATAAATTGATGGAAAAAGCGGGAACTGACAGCACACGAACGTACATGACATATATTCCAAAAGTTTGACAAATTCTACAAAAATGGAAACAGAATATGATGCGGCCGGCCACAAAATTTGCGAGGTATTCAAATTTCTTGGTAGGATATAGAACATTTTTCAACGCATTTCTATCAGGTACACTTCAGAACGGAAGATTTGATGTTGAAGAATTGGATCGTATTGAGAGAAAGAGCCGAACCCACAATTTATAAACTGAGCGAGTATCGAAAAGAACCTTATTCCAATTTAGAACCAACAAGAAACGAACAATTTGCAGATAATGAAATCCATTTCGAACACAATTTGAAAGAAAAAGACTTGAGAATCGAATTTTTAGAGCAGGAATATTCAAAAATCCAATTCCAATTTAGAACCAACAAGAAACGAACAATTTGCAGATAATGAAATCCATTTCGAACACAATTTGAAAGAAAAAGACTTGAGAATCGAATTTTTAGAGCAGGAATATTCAAAAATCCAAGGTTTTCGAGAGTGAGGAATTCAGGAAACAAATAGAAGAAAAAATAAAGAGTTGGAAAATAAGTTAAAGCAAAAAGATTTAGATGCAAAAGTCAGAGTTAGCAAAATTCAGAACTATTACCTATTATTTCAGATTTGAAACAAAATCAGCAAATATCTTCAGAGAAATACAAGAAAATTGAACAAGCAAATATCCAGGCAATTTTGAGCAAAATTCATAGTTTCGATGAACAATACTATGAAAAACTTTTGCATTTGAAAACCCGAATGGAAGATTTGAATAACAAATTGAATAATATTAGTAAAAATGTTGCTTTATATGAGCAGTTTCATCTCAAAATCAAATGGTAACAGATGGGATGCAAGAAGTTTGGAAAAAGCGTTGGTGATCAAATTCACGTGTGGTTCATAGGAATAGTATATGTATTTCGTTGGTATATATGTACATACCAACTTGATATCGACCTCCATTGAGGTCCTTCAGCCTAATCATTCAATATTTCGGGAAGAAATAATTTTCTAATCAATTTATCGTACCCTTTTACCCACTCGAGGAGACGCTATGCACTCTCATACAAAAATTAAAGACAGAGAAAGATATATGGATGAACTCTTCCCAGGACTTGTGGAGGAAGGAAGATGCGAGGAACCTTCATCTAAAAGCGAAAAACATATTCTTCTCCTTGTCTGGCAAAACATATATGATTTGCTTCAAAATCGTTTGTGGTTATATTTGATTGTCACTGCTTGTCTAGTGTCCGTGTCCCTACTCTAATATACAAAAAACGTCAAAACAGCAGTGTCAAGTACACTTAGGTAGGTACTCTAACTATAACCACCTTTGAAAAAACCCTGTGTATAATATCATGCAGGCATAAGAATCGAGGAAGACAGCACCAACAAAGTCGTCCACCACTTCCGTCAATTGCTTCCCCGTGGTTTCACCCTTCCCACTACCAGAACAGCATGCCGCCTGTCTGAAACCCCCTCGGGACGGTCCGAAACTCCCTCGGGAAGGTCCGAAACCCCCTCAGGATGGACCGAAACCCCCTCGGGATGGTCCGAAATCCCCTCGGGATGGCCCGAAACCCCCTCGGGACGGTCCGAAACTCCCTCGGGATGGTCCGTGGGTTTTGAGGGCACGCTGCCGAGCGCTCTGCCGACGCTGCTCGTGCGCATAGAGGGCGCTCTAGACGACAAGGGCATGTCGGAGAGTACGCTGAGGAGTCACCTGACCGATCAGATTATGCGGTGGTTCAGCATCGCGAGTGTGCTGAGTTGGACGCGAGAGGATGCCAGGACAGAGATGATGCTCAAACTGGAGGTGAGTTTCTTCCACTGATGTTTTCATTGAACAAAAACTCGCAAAACTTAACGGGAACTTGAAAAAACGGAATGTTGCGGTGTTGCGGAAATATGGCGGATCATAGTCTGATTTAGATTTACACTCCCTGGCAAAAAACCGGCCAGAAAAAATGAACAATTTATCGTCCAATAACTTATTCAATTCTTGTCCGATTTTGGTGGAATTGAGCTCTTTTCTACCTTGAACGAGAGAGAGGAACGTTCTCTCCTTTTCCATATTCCTCTTCTAAAGAGGTCTGTTAAATATTTCCTTGTCTAACCTCTTGTCTGCGCCACTGAAATATTTTTGATGTTATAATGGTATCCTTTCTTTCTGAACTAATTGACATATTTCACTTGGACTGAACTGAATTAGTTAACATGTCATTGGTTAAAATGCTTTCTACCCATCTACTACTCTATATATGAAGCATAGCTGTCCTCAAAGCGGGACCAACTTTTGTCTTCGTAGGTAACGAAATCGACCAATAGGCGTTGATGCCGACGTAGGGAAAAATAATACGAAACTTGTTAAACCAATATGGCTACGAATTTCAAATTTTTAAATTGGTTTTAGCGCGTATGTGATTGATTGTGATTTAATTTGCGAAATTTGGAAGGTTATCAGTCAATGACATTTATGACGAAGACCTATCACATCATTATAATCTGAACTAACTGATGACATATCTCACTAGAACTGAACCTGAATCAATTATTATGATTCAGTTTAGTCCAAGTGTAATAATAATATGTCACTTAGTTCAGTGGCGTAGACTAGGCGTTTGACAACAAGGAAATATTTATCGGACCTCTCTATATTTCAATGCGGCCAAGTTGGTAGCATTCATGTAGCATTGAAGAGAAACATGGAAGAGGATAGAACTTTCCTCTCTCTCTCGTTCAAAGTAGAAAAGAGCTCAATTCAGACTGACTCAAAGATTTAGGTCTCCTCTAATGTTAGCCTGAATTTTAAGAAAGGAAGAAAAGCTGATGGTTCTTATAAATATTCCGAAAAATATTCTAATTACAGGCAAAAAAAATCGTTTTAAGGGCATATTGTGTTTGCTTGATGTGTGAACAAGGGATACTTTTTCTGTTGTTGAACTCATCTTTTTCAAATGAATAATCATTCACATTGGTATTGAAAAAGTGCCAGTGTTTTGAAAATCTATAAAAATTCTGTCAACATATTTTGCTTTAGGGTTCAAAAGCTTACTGTAAGGTTGGTTTCTGTTTGTGAAATGAATTTTTTTTTGATTTGCTGAAAAATAACCACGTTTTTAATGGAATAAAAAATTGAGGGGAGGGCATATTCAAAGTGAAACACACTGTAGAATAAATATTGGAATTTTTCAGGTTCGGAAATGCGATATGCCTCTGTTGTCCTATTGGATTCCTCAGAGCAGTAGATGTGTTGAGCTGTCCAAAACTGACTGGGCTCAAAAGTCCTATAGGTAGTATCAGAGGACTTCAGTGAGGAATTTAGGCACAAGGCAGCTGGATGAAACCGGAAATATTCGTTGGAAAATCCTTACAAATGTTCAATTTCTGACTAGTTTTGTTTCATAATTTATTGAATAAATTTATGTGTAGATATATGCAACAATAAATTGTTATCAACTCAACTGAACATTATTACCCTACTTCTAAGATAACTCTGATTCAAATATGAATGAGTTACAGCAAGTCTGAAAATTTCCAAGGTCATTAGATGACATAGCAATGACATTTAAAATAACAGGAAAACATCCTAAGTTTTAGACATGTTTTCCCATAGTTTTTAATGCCATCACAACATAATCTAATGACTTTGAGGATCACTAGAGTCACTGGATGGTATTAATTTGATAAGAGTTCGGACACATCTGAACTGCTGTCATTTTCTATATAACAATGGTTTGAGTGAATAAAAGATTAAGACATATATTTCTGCTCTTTGTCTTTTCGATTTCCCTAGTAGCACCTGATTTTCAGATACCATATTAGAGGTTGGATTTTCTGTAAATGAATTGGGTTTAGTTTATTAACACCCACTTCAATACAGCACATTACAAAGAAAAACAGTTATAAAAATGGCAAGAATGAATGTTATTCCCATATAACAACAGTTTATTATGACAAAATAGACAACTGGATAAATGCCATTCAATGATATATTATGATTTAATTTACTTTTGATTTCTTCAGTTTTGTTCTCAAATTTCAAACTTCATTATGTATAGTTTCACTATCAATTCCTCTTTCTTCATGATAATTTTGTTTTGCATTTCATGTGCTGGTAATGGATTTTATCAAAGGGATCTTAAAACCTTCTGTTTGAAAATGGGTCTAGAATATATTTTCATTCTGATCTGCTTTTAGAGGAAGTGAATTTTGATGTACCTCACAAATTTTGCTTGTCTTCAAATTAATCTTCCATCCAGTCAGTTTCATACATTCCATCAATAAGAGAAGGGTTGATATTTTTGGAAAATTGAATAAATGAAATCTATTGTCTCCAGAACCACCACAATTCGATATACAGCAGCAAATTTTCATTCATGATTTCTTCTAAATAGTTTATGAAATTATATTTCAATTCTTACATTCCAAAAATTCATTGTCAATTTCAAACAATTTTGAATGAAAAAGTGCATGATGACTATGGTGCTCTTGTCCCAATTCAAGGTGTATTTAAAAACACTAATTTAATCCCATCCAGTCACTCTAAGGAATGGAAATTATGATAATATCTCATCTCATGAAGGGTTAGTTTGAGCACCCTCTGGATAAAAAAAATGGTATCTTGACAATCAACTTTCCAATTTTTTTAAATCTCTTGTGTATACACAAATACATATGTATAAGGAAAGTATCAAAACTTCAACAAAAATAATATCACACTCTTTTTGACAATAAAGGTATGACAATATATAAAATAAGATGCATCATTGGAATAAATAAATAACATCAATGATACCCAAAACATAATGATACAACAAATCATTTAGCTTCAAAAACTCTTCAAGTCACAGCTATTCAATAATTACCCAGCCTTGATCTTTTTGATTTTATGCTTTTTCTTCTTGTCTCTGACATCTGTTTCTTCAAAGGCCTTTTGCTTAGATATCTTGCTCTTTTTTGACTTCTTGCTTTTCTTCACAGGAATTCCTTTTCCACTGTCATCACTTTCACCATCATTTTCAGTCATTACAACAACTCTTGATCCACTCCTCTTACTACTGATTTCAATAATTTCTTCTGTATCTGTCTCAACTTTTTCCTCTTTGACAACTTCAAAGTTGGAAATTATGTCCATGCAAGTAATCCTGCAGCCAGCATTACTCTTACAGACTTCTCTGAGGTCTCCAGTCCACACTTTCAATTCCCCACTACTGCAAACTGTTACTAGCCACTCATCTTTCTTGGAAATACCTTTAATCCTGCTGCCATGCCCTTGTTTGACTCTTTTTTCTGAGGTATCAATGTTTATGATGGCCAGTTGTCCATCTTCATAACCAGCAAGGATTTCGTCTTCAGAGAACCAGATGCAGCTGCAAACTTTGATAGGGTGCTCAATGCACTTCAATATACCACCTATCTCTATACTCCAAACTTCTGTGTATCTGCCTCCATATAAAATAAATCTGACACCATCATCAGCCCACAAGATTTTCTCCAAACTCTTGGGGTCTTTGCTTTTGCTAGACAAATTGATGGCATAAGCTTGGCGTCCTTTGACAAGGTTCCAAGTCCGCAGAATACCATCTGAACCCAGAGTCAATGCTAGTTTCCCAGAGAGGTGCACAGCAATATCCAGTATAGCCATTCCCTTGTGTGCCTTGTCCCATTTCTTCTCCACCTGCCAATTTCCTACTCTAGTTATTGCTAAAAGTCCGTCTGAGCTACCGGAAATGAGATGGGAATGATTGTGAGTGAAACATAGGCAGTTTATGGTTGCTGTATGGTGGGTGAGCATGCAATGTTCTTTGCGCGTTTTGAAATCATAAATGATTATTCTGTCGTCAGCTGCTCCAGAAGCTAGGTAGTGATCGCAGGTGGCCAAGGTCCTCAAGCTGGAGCTGTGGTCGTGGGAAGCGAAGCTTTGCGTCAGGGTTTGATCCTATAATGGAACTTGTGTTGTTTTTTTTTTCATGTAAAGAGCTAGGAAAACTCACCTCGCTGTTGAATTTGTATCCTATCAAGAATTCTTCGTACGTCCCGGCTATTATTTCAAAAGATGCCATAGCTTCACATAAATCAAATGAAAAATAAACATAAAAATGCTTGAATCTTGATCTTGAACCATTAACATTCATAACCTAAAAAATTTAGGCAAATAAGTGAGGTTATCTCAAAAATCGCTGACAGTGACTCAATCGTAAACGCCGGATACGTATTTGAAGACGTGGGCCTCACGACAGCTACGTACATCGTACACTACATCCATTATTCTGGCTCCCAACATGATAACGGATCAATTGATTGCGTTTTCTTCCAGGTGGTGAAATGACGTTTACAAATCCTTCTATGAGAGAAATGTCCAATTCTACTTGAGTTAAAAATCAAGAAAATGGAATATCGCATACTTAGAGCATAGATTTCATCTGACAATGGGGATATGAAACCTGTCTCACTTGGAAGCATCATAGAAATGTCTCCAAAATGTCTTCTATTTTCGAAAAGTTTCTTGACAACTAGAATGCAACTAGAAACAATTCATCTAGTTGTATTTAGATCTAGGTAGAAAACCAAGGATTCTACGGGATTCTACAACTTTGTGGTGACAGTGACTCAATAGTAGACGCCGGATACGCGTATTTGAAAAGCGCTTCGCGTATACCTACGTATCCCACTTCCATAATTATTCTGGCTCCCAATTTTTTTTTATCGCTTGGAGCGCACGAAAGGGAATCCCTATAATGTTCAAAGAACATCATGCGACAAAACACCTTTTCTTCCGGAGCATTCTATTGGGAAAAGAAAAAAATTTTTTAGAATCATTCAACCTTACCCGGTCTAAATGGACCTTTTTCCTACAAAATATATTTTTCGAAAAATTACTAAAAAGAAGGAAATCTCACGAAAGAATAAGAACTAACTCTGCCTAAATAAACCTTCCTGAAACTCATATTCTCCGGAAAATTACCAGAGAGAGCAAAGGAGACTACTTTTCTAAACAATCTAACCTAATACGGCCAAATTGAACGTTCTTCCAAAAAAATATATTCTTTGGAATATTACCTGCGGAAACAGAACAGAACTAAAGTCGGCATTATATTCCCCCAGAGGCGTCTTTCATCGACAATATGAAAGCAACGCCATCTGAGTAGAACAGAAGGAAAGAATCACTCCATAGCTGAAATTCCTATACGGGAGTGGCTGGTTGCCCGACTGGCGTAATTTCAACTACGAAATAGCCACAATCTTAGATCATAAGGCCACAATGCTCAAAGTGGAATGAAATGTTAAATAAATACAATATAAATGCCGACTTGAGTTTTGTTTGGCTAGGTTAATGGTTAAGACAATGAGTTTATATTGAGTTCATTGGGCTACGCTGAGTCGGTGGTCGGTCTCAGGACTCCTGGCTGAAGACTACACTGCACTGATGAGAGTCAAAGAGCTCGCAACCGGTCTGTGGTTGTCTAGCGTGGCCTGGCTAAATCTTAATCGATGGGCATTCCAGGAAAGAATCACTTGTATCAGTATTCGTTTATACGAGTCGATGCATAGATTTCGGGAGGATGTATATAATTCAATGTCCTGCGTGGCATTTGCCAGGAAAGTAGTTGTTTTTCTCCCGAAATCTACCATTGTTGTTCATTTTATGAACATTGTGTGGAGATGACTTTGAGCTTTTTGTATTTATATTTAACAAAACATATGATTATCTCAAAAACAAATTATGTCGGTCCAAAATAAGGTCGATCTTCATTCAACCATGATCATTTTGTTGATTTGATGAAATAATATTCATTTTGATAACAATATATCTTTGTAACAACATACAAGTTTTCTTCTTCCGATGTAGCAATGAACTCATTTTGACCAGATCATTTGCTTGAATAGAGCAACGAAATATGTATAATATCAATAAAATATTTTGTTGAATTTTCGCCACTAGATGGCGATCTTTTCGCTTCGTCTATGCCTGCCTTGAATTCATTATATACGTGAATCCTGATTCTTCGTGTTTAAATAATCAGCTGGATTAATCGAAATTATGATTCTTAGCAAGCCGAAATACTCTTGCTAGTTTCCTAGTTTAGTTTATTCTATTGATGTGAAATTTCAGAAAATTCAGAAAAAATATCGGGTTTTGGTTCAACAAAACAATTTGTCGAATGGAAATACATCAGTTTTGTTGTAATGAATACTCAGTATATTCTGTAGCGATGGGATCGGGGAGAACAACAACATGCTTTTGTCATAATACATTTTGATGTAATGTCATGATTTTTAAAATAAAGTTACATAACTGAATCTTATCCTAATTTATATTCAAATAACATAACATGGCGCAGTCGAATAGTCTTAAACAGCCCAGTCCCATGAGTATGACAGGTGATGCAGGAGTCAACTGGAAGAAATTCAAAAATAGTTTCCAGATTTATGCTGTAGCTAGTGGATTCAACCAGAAAGAAAAAAACGTTCAAGCCGCGGTTTTGTTGCACTGTTTAGGAGAGGAAGTTTCGGATATTCTAGAAATATTGGAGTTGACAGATGATGAGAAGAAGGATTCGGATAAAGTTATTAAGAAATTAGATGAATATTTCGTTCCAAAATCAAATATAAGTGTTGAAACATATAAGTTTAACACAAGAAATCAACATGCTGGAGAAATATTTGAAGATTATTTGAGAGATCTGAAAAAACTAGCAAGTAATTGTGAGTTCGGAACATTTAGAGATAGATTACTGAAAGATAGGATAGTCAGCGGTGTCAGAGATAAGAAGGTAATGGATCGTTTATTAAGAGAACCCGATTTGAACTTAGCAAAGGCAATTGATATATGTCGTGCGGCTGAACAGACAGATAAGTATATAGAAGAAATGATGACCAATACGAATATAAATGAAATCAATGAAATTGGAGACAGGAATCGTCGATCTCAAGATATAAGAAGAAGTTATCAATATAATGAAAATAATCAAGAGTACGGTGAGAAGACCAGCCAATATAAAAGTAATGGTGGAAAAATCACTGGTTTTCAAGAACAATCAATTCCAGGGCCTAGTAGAAGAATTCAAGAACAGGATTTCAATAAAGCTACTTGTGGCAGATGTGGTTTGAGGCATTTTTATAACAGATGTCCAGCTTTTGGTAAAAAATGTAACAAATGTCAAATATTTGGTCATTTTGCGAACTTATGCAAAAAGGATATTAATTCCAGAGTTCATACTATTTGCAATGATGAAAGTCATGAAAATGGACATATTTCCAGGGATTCTGAAGATATTGATTATATATTGGGAACAATACAGATAAATATGTTAGAGAATGTTGAGGATGATTGGTATGAAACTTTATTAATTCAAGATTGTAATAAACTTATCAAATTTAAGCTCGATACGGGGGCACATGTGAATGTTATTCCAGAATATATCTATAGAATACTGAAAATAGGTCCATTGAAAAAAAATTATATAAATATAACTAACTATGGTGGTCAAAAGTTGAATGTTCTGGGATCTTGTCACTTGAATGTAATTTTTCGTGAAAAAAAGTATATTTTGAACTTTGTGGTCATCAAAACTGAGAATAATGCTGCACCTATTCTTGGAATTCATAGTGTGAAAAAATTGAACTTGATTACGAGGAATATTTTCAATATACAGAGCATTTCAGATATTTTCACAAAATATGAAGATTTATTCACGGGAATAGGTAAAATTTCTAATAGTCCTGTGAATTTCAAGCTGAAACAAGTGTACGAACCTAAAATTGTACCATGTCGTAGAGTACCATTTCAATTAATGGATAAACTGAAATCAGAATTAGATAGAATGATTAAGGATGAAATTATCATCAAAATTGCAGAACCTACGGAATTTGTTCATCCAATAGTCATAGTAAAAAAACCTGATGATAGTTTACGTATATGTCTTGATCCTAAAAATCTGAATGAATCTTTGATAAGAGAGTATTATGAACTTCCTACGTTTGATGAGATTACTAGAGGTATGTGTGGGGCAAACATATTTTCTACGTTAGATGCAAATAAAGGATTTTGGCAGATCGAATTATCCAATTCAGCTTCTAAATTAACTACTTTTGCCACACCTTTTGGAAGGTTCAGATTTTTGAGATTGCCATTTGGAGTGTCGAATGCACCAGAAATTTTCCACCGAACGTTCACAGAGATTTTTGAAGGTATAGAAGGTTTAAAAATATATATTGATGATATTATTATATTTGCTAAAAATATGATGGAACATGATGAAATTTTAGAAAAAGTGTTGGCTAGGGCTAGAGAATATGGTGTCAGATTCAATAAAAATAAATGTAAGTTGAGAGTAAAGGAAGTCAGGTATGTTGGTCATATTTTATCGGAAAAGGGTATCGAAGTAGATAATAATAAAGTAGAGGCAATTAAAAAAATTGAAGTTCCAAAGAATACAAAAGAACTGAGCAGATTTATGGGAATGGTGACCTATGTTGCTAAGTTTATTCCTAACTTGTCCAAACTCACAGTGAATTTGAGGAAATTGATGAAAAAAGATATATTGTGGGATTGGAATTCTATTCATCAAAGAGAATTTGATCACCTTAAAGAGTTACTTATCAACAGGCCAATTCTACAATATTACGATGGACATAAGCCCATTGTTCTTTCAGTTGATAGTTCTAAAGACGGTCTCGGAGCCGTAATATTACAAAATGATGCTCCACTGGCTTATGCATCTAAGAGTTTGACAGATACTCAACAAAAATATGCCCAAATAGAGAAAGAAATGTTGGGAATCGTATTTGGTTGCCAGAGATTTCACCAGTATTTGTATGGGAAGTCATTTTTAGTAGAAACAGATCATAAGCCACTGGAGGCTATTTTCAAGAAACCTCTTGATAAATGTCCACTTAGATTGCAAAGATTAAGAATAACTCTACAAAATTATGACTTTGTTGTTAAGTACAAACCCGGTGTTGAATTATACTTTGCTGATACATTATCAAGAGCTAGTTATGATGACCATAATTTTGATATCATTGAAAATGACCTGGAGGTTCAGGTGAATTTAATTGATTATAATAGTATCAGTAGCCCACAAAAATTTGAAACAATGAGAATTGAAACAAACTCTGATGTAGAGCTAGCAGAAGTGCTTAATTATAAAAAAAATGGATGG